GGTGCCCATTGGGCTCCCGTGRTCGGCTCATACTTTATTTCACAGCGCTCTGACAAACTTCAAGGGGAGAGGTTAAGGTYTTCCTCACGCCCGTATCTCTTGGCACAGCGTTTAGCCATGGGTGCTTTAAAAGATTAAGAAGTGGAGAAAGCGTGATAAATGAGGAAAGAGCCGTTTTAAGCTGTGGGGATGGTTCAAGCTAGTAGCACTTGAAACGGGGACTGGCAGCCGGGCTTGGATGTGGAAACTTGTCCCATTTCCAAGCCCAGCCCAGGCAGAGCCGGGCTCGCCTTTAGGCTGAGCAATAGCAGCTTCTATGCAACACGTGAGCATTTGTTTCCTGCACCTAGGTGCTTGTATTCAAGGCGCTTCAGTCCTGTGGTTTTAGGTGCMTATGGGATCCGTGTAACTAAATTTCAGAGGAAATGTGATTAATTTTTCCCTGACTGTGGTTATTTGTAATGCCTGTCAAAAACTTGGATGTTGTTGCTCTGGATAATGGAATAAACTGTTGCCCTGGTTGCTATATTTTTGTAATCTAGAGAAATCAATGTTCTTTATGTGAGCAGGATGGCATTCAAAACATGGAAAGCTTATTTATTTATTGGTAGCTTTAATGTAAAAAATTCTAACTCTTCCAAATTTTCTCCTATAACCTGGATTATCTCCTGCCAAACTTCTTCATGGGGAGATACTCCAGAATTGAGTCATCCGTGTCTGCCTTTCTCACCTGCYCTGTGGTGAAGTAAAGCACTGCATGTGTCTGTAGGGAGACTTTGTTAAGTATTAAATATGGTTTCTGCAGAAATGATATGTAACATTTGATTGCATTAAAATACTGGGCTGTATAGAATATGCAGTTGAGAATTTGCTCTACGAAACAATTCTGCACATTAAGCTGCTTAAGTGCTTTTAATCTATTCAGCAGCTCAGTTTGAGTTTAAAAAGCAGAATCTTGGTATATATGTGTTTTAGAATAATACCACTTCCATCTGCTTATTTTGGTTACAGAATTAAGTTCTTCACAGAAGATTGTAGTTGTTAMTGCCAGTCCTCCTGTGAGATTTTCCATTATCCTCCAAGCATTTTGTGTAGCCGACTAGATAAGGGAAGAGGTARCAGTTAAAGCTAATCTCTTATTTACGTGTTTCTGATGAGCAGAGGAAAGAAAAGGGACGTTGAGGTGGCGCGAGGAAGGGCGGTCGTGTCTCTTGGTGGGGAGCCCCYGGGACGGTGCCGGGGAGCCGCCGGGGTGGGTTGTCCTGAGGAGCCCTGTGTCACCGTGGCCATCGCTGGCCACATGATTCACATCGCATCCCAAGTGCGGGCTTGGTATGGTCCAAGAGAGACTAAATAGTCAATGAAGGGTGCAGAAAGCTTACGTGAGTGTATACTATGCAAGTTTGGCTTTTCACAGAGGTCAGTCTCCTGAGGATGTTAGAGAAGGAAGGGACTTTTTTTAGCCTGGAAAAAAAGGGTTCAAAGAGGGAAAATTGATTAATAAATTTGACTAAACATAAAGTCAATGTAATATGAGACAAGATAAATAGATACCTGGCCTAGGGTACRAAACATTGCAGAGAGATCAGGTAGTAACAAAGTGGGGACTAGAATAAGCTCACTCTCTATGTAGCGGAGAAGTGAACTTCTAGGGCATGTTTTGCCTACCTGGCAGAGTGCGGTACCTTCAGAGACCTGCAGCAAGTTCTCCTCCTCATCGCTGGCTGTGCATTCGGCTAAGCAGCCGCTAACATTCAGCTGGCAGGTTAGAGTTTTCATGGCAACGCATGCTTTTCTGTAGGTCTGATAAATACTTTTGGTCCTGTGGACTGAAATTTTTAGGGTCCTTCCTACCTTAAAAATATCCTCAAACTAATTCCGGGCCCAAATGCCTCTTAAAAATGCTGGTCTTTGCACTCAGCTGGATCTGGTGTTCTCTGTAGCTGAAAGAAAAAGAGCAGCCCTCAATCTGAGAGGCAATCCTTCAACAAAGCTAAAAGCTCTTTGATAAACTCTTGCTGCCGTGAGTAACGTATTCCAGCTTTCCAGGCACGTGTAGCTGGGCTAAAGCTCGTAGGAAAGTGTGTCACCTCCCTGCAACACGGTCTGGGAATTCCAGTTAGAGTGGAAAAGTATCTTCACGGGAAATGGTCCATCTTCGAGTCACCCGCTGAAGTGGAGGGGAAAAGTAGTAGTTAACTGGRAGGTTTTTTGGTGGGTGACCTCTCTCATGCCTTGAGAAACGCTTTTCAGAATTTTTTGGCTCCTTTGAATGCTTCTGTAGTAATGATTTGCTGTTTTTATCCAGTGCTCCTAGCAGAAATGTAATACAAACCCAGGTAAGTAGGTAAGTGTTTGAAAATAGCCATGCTCCCTTTAAGTAAGGGGAAGAGTGCCTCAATTGCACATGTTTCTCTCTGAAAAGGAGTGAAAGGCAGTGTTAGAAAGAATGGGTTTGGGCAAGCAGGGGAAAAATAGAGAGAGACGTCAGAATGTATAAGGGGCAGTTTTTATCCCAACTGAAAGGGAGGGTGAGTTTAAAGAGAAAATGATGCATTCATCTTCCTGCTCATAAAAGTCTTTGTAAGACTATAGAAAACGGAGAAAGGCCTAAGGAAAGTAAAGAAAAATGAACCAGTAAAGGCTGAGATTGCAGTAGGGTGGAAGAAAAAGGGAGAGGAAGAAATATTTATGATAAGGAATAAATCGGTATGGAGTGGAATAATCCGAGTGGAAAAAGAGTGCAAGAGGAATAGAGTGAAGATAGGAAGAGAACGGTGACGACGCCGGTGCGTGCAAAGGGAGGAGAGAGTCCTTGCTGGGCTGAGCAGTGCCCGACTTCTTGGGGGGCTTGTCTTCACTCGCATGCAGCCGTCCTCGTGTTCCTCTTGCTGTGGCTGTTTTGAAGAGCAAACCTSTGATGACAATATTTTGTTAAATAGTATAGGAGAATGACATTTTGAATCGCTGTAGGGCAAATGCTGCYGCCACTCTCTCTTCTGCCTTCGTTCCATGGAATGCCAAATCAGTTATGAGGTCTGCTAAGCCTAGTCGGGTTAGGTTCTTRTTTTAAAACCTCAGAGGGGTTTATTTTTCAATTAGGCAATAGCAGTAAGCTACAATGTATCTTGGGATGCTACTTGACCATCTGCGAGGAAGTGTGTTGCTGCTAGCAGTTAAGAAACAAAAACTGACAGGACCCCTGGGATTACTGCTGGTAACGTTGTAACTACTGGAATGGGGTTTTGTACTGCGGATTGGAGAAAAATAAACAGAAACAAAATGAGGAGAAATAAGATATTATTWAGAGCTGGGAATAAATGAAGCCTTAATTAAAAGAACAAATAAAAGCTAGCTCTTAGTTCCTGAAGGACAATTTTCCGCACATCAGATTGAACTGATTACCAAAGCCGGGTGGACCAAAAGGCTGGGAAATGCCACTTTACATAGCRATTTCTTATTTAGCTTAATTAATACATCTCGTAAGCACAGGAGCCTGCACAGAGAAACTGTTGAGTGGACTTAGAGTTTGCAAAAGGATATTGGGATAATCAGCACAAAGTTCATCCCGTGTGTTTCCAAAACACGGCCAACACCATGGAAAAGTCCTATGGCTGTGAAGTGGGGATGGGGGAGACAGTGAGGGCTCAGCAATGTTGGTGAGGGCTGTCTGCTATAGCCGAAGGTGTRAAAATGTGGAAACGGAAATGAGGGTGGAAGCCGAGTGCAGGTCCAGCAGAAAGCAGAGCGGGTGTTAGACTAGAAGTGAAGAGAAYGGTCTATGTGTTTAAGAAAGGGGAAGAAGTTAGTGCACATTTAGGTGTTTGACCATGATATTGCTTAGGTTTTGGAGTGCTTTGCCTGGGCAAGATAGTTCCAGACATAACAGTGAAAAGAAATTCGCTGAAAGGTGTTGGTTTATCAAAGAAATAGTGCTGGTAAGGAAGCATGCCAGAGCAAAGGCGTCTTGCCTCAACCCTACTTACATAGCTGTTTGTGTAGCTAAATTGGAAATAAAATCAAGTGAGATTTTTAGACAGGTTTTCACATTTTTTTCCACATGTATCATGTCATTGGCTGGAAACTTGACTTCTTCAGTAGAATAAAATTTGAGAGGGGGCATGATTGCTGTATAAATATGTGRAGCTAAACCCAAGACGGGAATCACTTAGAATAATATAAGGCTGATGTGAGAGCAAACGAGCATAAACTGGCTGTGAATAAGTTTAGTCTAGAAATTAGAAGAGGATTTCTAGTCAATAGAACAATCTGCTTTAAAAACATCCTTCCAATTAAAGTGGTGCGTATCAAGCCATATCTGACAGCACTAAGCGTAGRAAAAAAATAATGAAAATGTTTCCTAAAGATAGGCCTGCCAGAGCAAGGAGCTACATTCATTCAGGCAAAAGAGCTCCTTTCTGTAGTATCTTCCTAAAATAAAAGTGACAAAGCAAAGGCAGCAACACCAAGACGGTGCAAGCGCAGTACGTGGCTCTGAGCTAACTAAGTCCAAGAGCACGTGTGATATTCCCTGTCCGCAATGATCCAGGCAGGAGTTTTGCAAACACAACCAACCCAAAGACCTGAAGCCCCCTCACGTGGAGTGACAAGTCACAGAATTTTGCTGAAACTTCAATATAGGGMAATTTGAAATTGAGTGAAAAATGCTAGAAAGAAGCTCTCTTGGCTAGAAGTAGATAATTGAAATGTCGTGAAGGAACTGATGTAATAAATAATAAATGTTTTTCTTTTGCTCTAATAATTTCTTCAAGTTGCCCCGGTGGAAGGCACGGGTCATTGTTGCTCATGCCTTTTACTAGGCTTTCAACTTCCTGTGTCAGTCAGTTGAGCAGAAATTTTTGGAGCATTTCAGCTAAGTTAGAGAATGGAATGTGAGGGGGATGTGCACTGATGCTTTATGACAGGAGCTTGATTTTTCTTTTTTTTTCTTTTGGGTGCAAGAAATGCTTCTTCCTCTTCCGAAGATTAATCTCCTTGTGGAAAATATYAGACCTCGAAAAAATCCTTTTCTTGTGTTGTGGATGCTCAGACTGAAGCTAGGTGAGGCACTTGGAGACATTGTTTAACAGGCATGATATTGAAAGGCTTACGGTTGGACTTGATCATCCTGAAGGTCTTTTCTAACCGTAATGATTCTGTGATTTTCTGATTCCCTAAACCTCCCTACTTCCAGCCTTCCTAAGCTGAGTGACTCTCGGATGTCACAAGCGGGAGTCATTTGTGCTGTGAGTGTGAGCAGCCCTCGGGACACGGGCGTCTTGTGCCCACGAGGCTCTTGGGGCCTTCCTGTCCCAACTCCCCGCAGGCAAGACTGCAAATATTTTTCTTTTTCTTGTTCTGGTGTTATGGGCTATTAATAGGCACTGGAGACGCTCGGCTTATTAACAGCAGGTGGGGCAGGTTACTGTTTTAAACTGCACCTGGACTCGTTTCATCCTGAAACTCTTATGGTTCATGTGCATTTACTGAGCAGTGACTGTGTCAATATTTGGTCTTTGGAGTTAAGCAGAAAGCTCTCCCCAGTTTTCCCTCTCTCTAGGACCCAGAGCAAGCAAAGTTAGGGAAAAATTAAGCAAACCTTTTCCCGTATTAAACGCTCAATGCCATGCTGTAGGAAGCAATGCGAAAGACTTATAGAAATGCCATTTGCTGATGTCTGTCTGTCAGTGACTGTATGGGTGTACGTATGTGTCTGGCTCCTTTTAACTGGGAATGAGATAACGTGTAGCCAAGAGAGGTGAGCACTGCAGGAAGCCCCCGCGGCACCGATGGCTCAATATCTTTATTGCTTGCCCCAGCATCTTTTCTCTGGTGGGCTCCTCGAGGTGCTTTGTGTAGCCATCGATCTTGTTTGCAACTTTTTAATGTGTTTCCAAGCTTTCTAGCTCCCTGTGATGGCAAAATAGCTAATCCACCTGATGGATTCTGGTGAAGTCTTGAGGTTGTTTTTGTTACGCATTCAACATCCTTATGCAGTCCATGTGCCGTAGAGAGCCCGGTTCAGGAAAAGGTTGTCTTTTTGTTTCAACTTCCTTTTTCCTAGCCAGGACACCTCTAACACATCTACTTGCCGTGTKTCCACGGGCAGATAAAACAGAAGGGCTGATTTCTTTGGTGCTTGTGGCTGCTGCTACAGATGTACTTCTTTCCTCTGTTGCCAGCCACAGCATCTGGACTCTGAGAGCACTTTTAGTCTTGCTGCTTCACAGACCTCGTAGAATAGTCTCRTTGAGTCAGTCGCTGGGTCTGCCAGTCTCTGGAATCGGGTATGTTCTTGACTGAGAGAGTATTTAAGGCTATCAACGCTGTTAAGTCTCGTAGCTAAATTAGCATTGCTGAACACAGTGCTTTAGTTGGAGGCTGTTGGCRTTAAGTGGTCATCTTGACAGTCTGCTTAAGAGTACATGAAGAAAATTACTGTTATGGCCAGAAATATCACTGTCTTCACTGCTGGCATTTTATTCCAGCTTCAGAAATATCAAAATAACTTCTGACGTAGCAGTTCCAGTAAGGCCTGTCTTAATGAAATAGATACCTTAGTGTCTTTCAAGTCCAACATCAGATAGCAATTAAATGCAACATTATTATCTGGAAAGGGTTGAGGTTTCCTGTTAGACACAGTTACTGCACTTCCTTTCTTGCATTTAAAACTTCTCATCTTTTTTTCAGCTGGTGACAGTGGCATAGGCCACCCTCCTTAATTACACCTGGAAGGAGATGAGATGCGCCTAGTTCTAAGCTAATGCTGTTTCAATGGCTTTCTCACTCTATATATCCAGTGCTGTGAGTTCAGCTCCTCGGGCACGCAGCGAGAAGGCTCTAGAGGAGCTTCAAAGTCACACTAGTAACGTGTGCCGGTTGGGAAGAACTCAAAGAAGTACCTTTCCAAACATACACTCTGGACAAATGGACTGTAAAGTGGTGGATGTGGGGATTAGGAGCTGAGAAGTAAGATCTGAATCCTACCTGTTATAGCCATTTGTTTTGTGAATTTGAAAGAATGAGGGGGTTTTCCTGTAAAATGAGAGAAATCATTCTCAGAGAGATCTGAAAGAATTGAGATTTTTCACAGGAAAAGATCAACTTACCCTATTTTTTTTYCCCCTCTCTCTCCTCTCTGTTGTTAAATATGATGCTGATTTGGTAGCCCTCCCTGTGAGCAGATGATGTATCCCACTCTGCAGGAACGTGCCAGTCTCTGTTAATGGTAGAAACGGATGGATGCTCCTCCTCTGGATGGGGGATTGCAGGTTCCTCAGTAGACRAAGAGCAAAGCGTGAGTCGGGTTTGAGGTTGGCACCGCTTGCAGGGCACAGCTTGAGCACTTGCTATCCTGAACTTCCTGATGCTGAAGTGAATATTTTGCCATGGTGTTTGTGACTACAGTGCCAAGGAAAACCTGTTGTCAACCAAGCTGAGATGGTACTAACTTGCTGCCTGTTTTTGACCTAGCATTCCAGATGTTGGAAATCAAACCATTTTCTCATGTTTCGGYCAGCTTTTGATGCTCAGTCTTCCTGTTTTGCCCTGTAACTCGCGTTGTAAGGATTTCAGAATTGACAGGTACGGCAAGAGCTCTGAAACAACAAATCGATGCATTTCTAGCTAGCAAACCCCTTGACAGTTATGAGAGTTCCTGCTAGGAAGCCTTGCTAGCTTCCARTTCAGGAATTTTCTGTACCAAGAATGCCCTGCATAGTTTTATGCTTGGGTTGGGAATCATTTGATTGCTACCATACCTTGTGCAGTAACAAAAAGTTCACCTTAAGCTTTTTYGGAGAGTTAAATCAGAACTGTCAGTCTGATCACCTTTCCCACTGTCAATTTTGTTTTATTTATTGCAGGATTTGTGAATGAAACTGCTGTACAGTGGGACTTGCCTACTTCTCCTTTGATTGCATCTCTTATCTTCCTCAAGTTACTTTGACCCCAAAGATGAGGACTTCCCTCCTTCAGTTGTAAGTCCTCTTTCCCAGTCTCTCTGAATTATGTACCGTTAGAATATTGTCTGTCATTGCTGTTRTCTTTGTATTTATTGAGAACTTGAGTTCTCAATAAATTGTAACACATGAAAGCTGCTAGTTTTACAATATGTGTAGTTGATAAGCAGCTATTGAATATATGTTAATAAAAACCTTTGCCTTTGCTTTAGTGGAGAAAAAACAATGAAACCTGTCCCCCCCCCCCCAGCCCCCAAGCACACAACTACCCATATATCAGTGTCTGAACTGTGGAAGGTCCTATGTGCTTAGCTCTTCCTGGTCTCGTGGCCCAAATCAAGACTGAGGAGAAAAAGTAAAAAGTAAAGCAGGACACCAAGGAGGAAATGTATGAGGGGAAAAAAATGAGCTCAAAATGTAAAGTAATCAGTTGTTATTCTCAAAACTACTGTGCATTGGTATTTAATTACCTCATGGAAGCAAGCAAGTGAAGATCATCTTTCATCTCTAAACAGGCGGAACTGTTGAATGCAATAGCTTCAGTACAGTGAAATGATCAAATGTTCCTTCAAATAATACTGACATTGCTCTTATTTTTTAGTGAAAAAGCAAGTGTTTTATTGGACTTCTAAACTCTTTTGCTAGCTTCCAATAGATTTTGCGTTTTATACTTTTTGTGAAACATGACAGTCTCCTTTCCTCAGTTGATCAACACAGTATGAATTTTAGAACTGATTTTAATCTTTGGGGAAGGGACCCGGTAGAGCTAGGGGCTAACTTGCTTATTTGTTCACGCAACAGAGCAGCCACCTCATTTTCTAAGACMAACCACGCAGTATGAGCAATGAGCTTTGCGTGGTCACCAGCTTTTAGCTTTTCTGCCAAAACCTTCCCAAGATTTCTTGGGAAAATTCTCCAAATTTCYTGGGGCTCTGCTCCCAGGATACTGTTCCCAGCAGTAAAAGCAAGGACCGTTATTTATGTTATGACCAGAACACCTACATGCTGGAAGAACGGAGTGCGGCAGCCTTCTCTGGTGGCGTATCCCATATGCTCCTTCCCTTTTAGCTCCCCAGGAAAACAGGTTCTAGACGCAGATTCTGCAAAGGGAGGGTGGGAAGCACCGGCATCGGCTTTGCGAAGGCTGTAAGTAGGATTTTRAGGAAGGAGCTGCCTCTTAATGCCTGCTGGCCCGCTGGAAGGAAGGACAGACCTGTCCAGGATCTGGACTGCTGCCCGGTGAGAGCAGCCCCGGGGCCACGTGAGGATGTGATCGTGGAGTCCCTTGTGCTCGTTGTGACCATCCTGGCCAGGCACAGCGTGGCCCTTGGGTGCCCGTGAGTCGGTGAAACTGGAGAGGGAATCGGGGCACGTGGGCAAATCACCTTGTGCAGGGTTCTTGCTAAATGCATGTCGTCTTCCCCTTTCCTAAGGACTCCATAGAATTGCTAAGCTTTCCTAGGCTTTCATARTGCTCACTGCCTTCGTGCTGAAATTAAACCACTGACCAGATGGGAACAGCTTTCAGTTTCCCTTACCGACATATTTCACRTTCATATCTTTAAACCTGATGAGAAGATTATACATAATTCTGTAATTCAAGTACTTATGTTCTCTTAAGGAATGGTGATCCTCCCCCAGTTTTATAAATTCCTACTTTCATAAGTAGGAATTTCAATTTTTATCAAGTTCCTCTCTTTAGTGATGATGTACTTTGTGTTATCATAAATACGTCCRTGGGAGCATTATTATGGCAAGTGGCTTCACTTGTACTACGTGGCCTTTTGGACTCCCAGGCTATATCATGTAGTGTTCAGAATTGCTGTTGACTCCTCTGTTTTTATTTATTTATTTTTATCCTGATGGCTGCCATCTTTCATTGCACKCTACTTTTAAATACCGGTCACACCATTTCAAAATGTGCTCTGTGTGTGGTACGTGTATTCAGACTTGAACTTGTGTCTCTCTGCTTTGGTGAGTTAAGAGCCGAGTTGTGGTACAGCTGTTCATCAGCTGTTCAGGTTTTCAGCTTCCTTCTTGGCTGGGAAAATGTTCTCGCCCTGCTGGAGTCCCATAGTTGTGGTGCCCAGCTCGGCATCCGTGTACTGGTGTTCCCTAAACTGCATGCTGTTCCTTGGACTCGTTAGACTCTCTCCTATTTCTATTTTACAGCGATCCCCTAAGTTTAGTGTATTAGGCTTGAATTTCTTCAAATCAGGCAGAATAATGTCAGTTTTGGCCGGCGATGCCGATGGTGTTTCAGGTAGCACATACCTCTCTCGTTTCACCAAGGCTCCTCTTCAGCAAACGCAGAGCTTCAGTCTGTGGCTTGCAACTTCCACCTGCTAAGTTGCTTGTTTTAATATAACCAGCCGGAACGTGGACTCTCATGGCTCCCATTAGAGATTGTTCACAACCGTGGCTGTTATTTGTTCCCCACTGTGCTCTTTCCCAATCAGTTTTTAAGCTTAGCTGTTGTTCTAGTCATACACAGTAATGCTTAATCTGCGCTGCGTGATAGTCCATGCTGATGCACAGCTTTCACTTTTCTTGTAGGGCTGTTTTTCCTGTGGGAAATAAAGTTTCTTGATTTAGCGTGTTAGTCATCCTTTCGCACTTCCAGAACTCCTATTTGGAGGCTGAAACAGGAGAACTGTGCTGGAGAGGGCCAGAAAAGCAGTTCTGCAATATCTGGGCCTGCTCAGGAGCTGCTGTTCTAGCTACAGAAGAGGATTTATGGGCAATTTATCTAGGTCTAATAGATGAGAATTAACCCTACAAAAGCTCAACATGGGAGGCTAAAAATGCAAGGATGCATGTGACTGGCACAGGGCTATGAGATGKTTCTGCAGAAGGTGGGCATAAGATATTTGTAGCACTTCAAAAAGCCTGCAGCCTCATCACCCTCATCACTGAGGCTTAGGTAGCTGTAAGGCTGGGCATTGAGATCAAGGCTATTGGCAGGGTTAGGGAGAGTCAGGAGCAAAGGGACTAAAATGACTTTACGGTCTTCAGAAGTCCRGTGTGACACCAGACCCCTGAGGTACAAAGAATAAATAAGGGAGAGGTCAGTGGGGAAGACAAAAAAGGAGACAGAACAGGGAAGCTTGTATTATTAATAGGCACTTCTGTGTGTCAACACAAAGCTGGACACCCCAGGGAATTCTACTCTCTAATAATAYTCCCAATAGTCATGCCTAATGAGGAATTCCACCAGTAGCTCRGAGGCCTAAATCAAAGAGTCTGGATTGGGCAAGCTGGCTGGTAAGGTGTGAGCTATGGGTATGAGCTTGACCCAAGGCCTAGAGTGTAAGGAAAGAGCCGCCCAAGTCGCGTGTTCTTTGTACCTGGAATTGCAAGGAGGAGCTTGAAGGCTCCTGCTCTGGATGCAGAATTGAGGAGAGCATCTAAGATGTGGCTCTCGCTGTGGCTAAGAGCAGCGTTTCAGCGGTGTGGTCAGAGGGCTCTGACAGCAGAGTTTCTGTACATTTTCTATGAGTTGTGCACTGYGACTATTGAATTATACTCAGAAACTACTTTCTCTTCATAAGATTGCTTTATAAATTGTTAAACTAGATCAGAACAGCATTTAGCATGTAGCTTGAGCTCTGTGTGTAATTTTTTAAAATATCGTATAGGCGAGGGGTTTCAGTCTTGTTTAATTACCATTTTTAAGTGTCAGAAATGAAAGGTCATATAAAATTTCTTCCTACTTTTTTCCTTGGGAAGAATTTCTCAAAAGYACAGTGTTTCCTGTTGATTTGACCAATGGGAGCAATAGCATTTCTACCRCTTCTAAGCAAACTTACAGCTACACTTCTGTCCATAGTCGCTATGTAAATATAACCCTTCTGAACAGAATAAGGCCCATAGAAACGGTGCAACTTGTACAAATGGTGTGTTTGATTCCTTATAAAATWTGTCTGATCAGGTCAACCAATTTTGATCCTTTTGGATCAATTCAGTAACAGCTGACCATGATTTTCCTGCCTGTTTCTTAGCAACAGGAAACTTTTCTGCATGATGACTATTTAATATCCTAATCCATTTTAGAAGCTCTTATACCTAAAGAGAAACAGATGGTCTAAGGATGTTTTGTTTTTAGCAACAGAGATAGGGAGTATCTGTGGAATTTTTTTTCCCTTTATTGTTGTCCCCTTCATTTTATGCCCTGCTGCCTTGTGCTTGCAGCATCTCAACGATGGTGGCYAAAAACCTTGGTCAAGAAGAGAGAATAAAAATAGCTGAGGAAGTGAGGGCAGTGTTACCCACAGTGGGACCTTGTTTGCTGGGCATTTGCTTGCTCCCAAAACCTCCCTGATTTTCTTTCCCCTTTATTGGGAGCGTGTAACATTCTTTATATTTCAGTAGGAACACTTTCYAAGGTTTATTTTTATGTGACTTGCTCTTGTAGAAGGTGTAAGCTAAGTTATTCAGGGTGTTGGAACGTGRAGCTATGAAGCAGAATGTTGTGACTGTTTCGTTAGGGGTCCAGTGACTGTTTTATTATGAGTCCAATGAAGATTTACAATTCTGCTCATTTTTCTGGTTGCATGAAACTTGTTATTTTGTGCTGAGAGAAAGGCAGCTTGCATATTTCTGGAGAGATGATGATCTTGGATATTCCTTTGTGCGATTACCATTACTACTAGAGCCTCCATTCTTAGCTTATTGCAGCTATTGGTAGAGGTGCCCATAAAAAGACCTATTCTCTCCTAATTCTTTCCGAAAGTATCAAACAGTGTATTTATTTCAAGAGAAAGTGCTGCAGTGATGTGAATATGTGTGAATGTGTGTAATGTTCAACACTGGCACCGACCTTTTATCTACACATAAGATCATCCAGTGAACTTTTTTCTCTTCGTTGCTCTATGGTGTCCTTYAAGCTGGCTGTCACTGATGTGCAAGATTAAGAGCTCTAGGAAAAACTACTCTCCCTACGAGAACAGTCGCGTGGCCTTGATTTCAAGTTTCATCATTTATGCAAAGTGATTTTTCTGCCTATTTTGGCATAAAAT